GTCGGGACTCGAACTGGAGACGCTGGCCGAGCCCCCGGCGCCGGGCCCCGGGCGCCTCATCACGGACCCGGGCAGCGGCCGCACCTACGCCAAAGGCCGCCTGTTGGGCAAGGTGAGCTGAGGGTGAGGGTGGAGAGGGGCCTTGGCAGGCTCTGTGCCCGCGGTGGGGGCGCGTGGGACCTCTGCGGGCCAGATCCGGCCGCCCTTGGAGCACCATGCCCGATGCCCCCTCCTCACAGGGGGGCTTCGCGCGTTGTTACGAGGCCACTGACACAGAGACCGGCAGCGCCTACGCGGTCAAAGTCATCTCGCAGAGCCGCATTACGAAGCCGCATCAGCGCGAGAAGGTGGGCTCGGGCCCAGGCCCGGCGGACTAGGGCTGGGGTGGGGACGGTGGCGTGCGAGCCCTTGAAGGATGACAACCCTGCACCCCTACTGCAGATCCTAAATGAGATTGAGCTGCACCGCGGCCTGCAGCACCGCCACATCGTGCGCTTCTCGCATCACTTTGAGGATGCTGACAACATATACATTTTCTTGGAGCTCTGCAGCCGAAAGGTGAGGGATAGTGATGCGTGGGGAGCGGTAAAGGGGTCTTAAGATCCAAAGCTGGAGATGCTGTCTCCTCCTCATCAAACACAGGTTGAGGGAGGGCCAGGGAGGGTGGTCCAGGGACTGAGGCAGTGGCTCTCTGTAGTCCCTGGCCCACATCTGGAAGGCCCGGCACACCCTGTTGGAACCAGAGGTGCGCTACTACCTGCGGCAGATCCTTTCCGGACTCAAGTACTTGCACCAGCGTGGCATCTTGCACCGAGACCTTAAGCTGGGTGAGACTCCTGGGCCAGCAGGGTGGGTGGGGGTGGGGAGGCATAGAAAAGAGTGTGATACACCTCTCTGCCCCCTTCCAGGAAATTTTTTTATTACTGAGAACATGGAACTGAAGATGGGGGATTTTGGGCTGGCAACTCGGTTGGAACCCCCAGAGCATAGGAAGAAGTGAGTGTTTAAGGGAGGGGATAAAGCCTGTGTGTGACACAAATGACGTCCATGACAGACAGTATGTGGGAAGTACACTGATTGCCTGATATCTGTGTGTGTGTGTGTGTGTGAGTGTGTGATGGGGAAGAGATGATGGGCTGTTTGTGTGTGGAGGTGGCAGCCTGGGTTACTGGGACTGGTATAGAGGCTGAGGGTCCTATGGGTGTCTGGGTCCCTGAGGCAGATGGAGGTATCAGGATTCTTGGAGGTGTATGACTGATCTTGTGTGTGGATGAGGGAAGGCAACATAAATATTGTGTGTGTGAGACACAGAGTGTGGGAATGGCAGGACATGACACCCTGTGTGTAAGAAAACCCTGCTGTGGCCATGACTGGATGTGAATGACACAGATAGCATGTGTGGCAGATGAGTGTTTATGAGGGATGTGACAGCTGGTGTTGGTGTGTGTATGTGGCGCAGACCGTAGGAGGTGACAGCCTGGTGTCTGACACACGGGAGTGGGGGAAGGAGTAAGGGATCAATGATGGACCCTCTGTTGACCCTGGAGGGTGGGACTGGGTTGGGGGCCAGGGCCTCCCTCCCCCTGTTCTGTAGAGCAGCTGAGCAGCTGGGCCAGGCGGGTGGGCGGGGAATCAGCTGCCATCCCCAGCATCCATTGTCCCAGGACAAGCAGGAGTTCTCTGGCCTTTGGTGACAGGCAGCTGCTTTATCTGGACTCACAGTGGGGGCAGGGATGGGGCAGGGGCTAGCTGGGCTGGGCCTAAACCTTCCCCTCTCGTCCCTACCCCTTTTCAGGACCATCTGTGGCACCCCTAACTATGTGGCTCCCGAAGTGCTACAGAGACAGGGCCACGGCCCAGAGGCAGATGTGTGGTCCTTGGGCTGTGTCATGTGAGTCCCAGGGTCATCTGTACACAGATGGGTGCATGGGTGGAGCATACCTTCCACTTTACTCCTGAACCCTTATTTCTGCCCCACAGGTACACGCTGCTATGTGGGAGTCCCCCCTTTGAGACAGTCGACCTGAAGGAGACGTACCGCTGCATCAAACAGGTTCACTACACACTGCCTGCCAGCCTCTCACTGCCTGCCAGGCAGCTCCTGGCCTCCATCCTTCGAGCCTCACCCCAGGACCGCCCCTCAATTGACCAGATCTTGCGCCATGATTTCTTTACCAAGGTCTGTGGCTCACCAGACACTTAAGTCCAGTTTGCACATTCCCAGGGGGTTGGACAGGGGCAGGTGCAGGACCCTCTCTTTTCTGCTCACATGGCTTCACTCCTCAGGGCTACACCCCCGACCGGCTCCCTATCAACAGCTGCGTGACAGTCCCAGAACTGATACCCCTTAATCCAGCTAGGATTCTGTTTGTCAAAGTTACCAAGAGCCTCTTTGGCAGGAAGAAGAACAAAAGTGAGTCTAGGATGCCAGTGGTTTTGAGGGTACAGAGTGGCAGGGGGACTTGTTACATATACATACATTGTGGTGGTGTGAGTGTGAGTGTCTGTGAGCCCGGGGGAGAGCGTGTGTTATACAGGCACTTGGTTGTGCCAATCTGTATTATTCCTGTGGGAAGTAGGGTACTGAGGGTTATGTCTGCCCTCATCCAGGTAAGAACCATCCTGAGGAGCGGGATGAGGTTTCCTGTTTGGTGAGCGGCCTCACTAGGACGTCCATTGGCCATCAGGATGCCAGGCCCGAGGTGAGGTGCTCACGTGGGCATGTTCCCCTGACTCACCCCTACCCTAGCAGCTGCGGGAAGCTTGGGATAAAAGAGTCTGGTGAAGCATCTAGCCTCATGGTGGCCTAATTGGCTGTGTCTCATTAGCCAGCCGGGACTGACCTGGGGTGCCCTGGGTGCCAGGGTAGGGCTGGGCCATGGACTCTCAAGGATTTGGATTTCAGGACCTGTCTCACTCCCTCCCCCTACCCAACCCTCCAGGTTCCAGCAGCTTCTGGTCCAGTCCCCCTCAGCTTGGTAGAGACAGCTCCAGAAGACAGCTCACCCCGTGGGACACTGGCGAGTAGTGGAGATGGTGAGCAGCCAGGAATATGAGAGGTGCTAGAGATTGCTGGGGCTGAGACCAGGGGCCAGAGGGAAGGAATGGGCAGAAGGGCATGGCCTGGGTCCTAGGGGACTGATGCCTAATCCTGAGTTCCCCATTCCCTTTAGGGTTTGAAGAAGGTCTGACTGTGGCCACAGTAGTGGAGTCAGCTCTCTGTGCCCTGAGAAACTGCCTCGCCTTCATGCCCCCAGGTAAGGTTGGGGTCTGCTACATGTGAATGGTGGTGGGAGTTCTGTGGCTGGGAGGCCAGGAACAGGTCCTTACTCATTCCTCCCCCATGACAGCGGAGCAGAACCCAGCTCCTCTGGCACAGCCAGAGCCTTTGGTGTGGGTCAGCAAGTGGGTTGACTACTCAAACAAGTTTGGCTTTGGGTATCAGCTGTCCAGCCGCCGAGTGGCCGTGCTGTTCAACAATGGCACACACATGGCCCTGTCGGCCAACAGAAAGTAAGTGCTATTATGGGGTGCCTTGTATCCAGGCCTTTGTACCCTGCAGGGCTCCCTCTGACCTCTGTCTCCTCCCCTCCAGGACTGTGCACTACAACCCCACCAGCACAAAGCACTTCTCCTTCTCTGTCGGTGCTGTGCCTCGGGGCCTACAACCTCAGTTGGGTGTCTTGCAGTATTTCACCTCCTACATGGAGCAGCACCTCATGAAGGTGTGTGGACTGGGGAGCGGCACACTGAGGACTAACACATCCTGGTCCCTTCTATTCCCCTTTATGGAGGGGCTCAAAGCTAAAGGCTGAACTTCTAAGGGAGACATCAATGGGGAGGGCCCTGACTCATGTCAGACAAATGACTTGCCCCTGTTCCCAGGGTGGAGATCTGCCCAGTGTGGAAGAAGTGGAGGTGCCTGTCCCCCCACTCCTACTGCAGTGGGTCAAGACTGATCAGGCCCTACTCATGCTGTTTAGTGATGGCACGGTCCAGGTAAGAGCTTCTCCTGGAATTGGGGGAAGGTGTGGGAGGCCTAGGGTGGTGGGGAGGGAATTGGACCTGGGGCCTAGGCCCTGATTAACGCCACCCTCTTGTGCATAGGTGAACTTCTATGGAGACCACACCAAGCTGATCCTCAGTGGCTGGGAACCCCTCCTTGTGACTTTCGTGGCCCGCAATCGCAGCGCTTGTACTTACCTTGCTTCCCACCTTCGGCAGCTGGGCTGCTCCCCAGACCTGCGACAGCGGCTCCGCTATACTCTGCGCCTGCTCCGGGACCGCTGCTCAGCCTAGGCCCCAGCCTGCAGAGCAGGCTATGACCCAAGCCCTCAGGCCTGAGGCCTGTGCCTGTAAGGCTCTGGCCCTTGCCTCTGTGGCCCTCCCTGTCCCTTTGGTGCCTCACTGGGGGCTCTGGGCCTAATCCCCCAGGGAATCAGGGACCAGCTTTACTGGAGTTGGAGGCTGCCTGTCATAGCTGCCTCCTGCCCCTTCTCCAAGAAAAGCCTGAGCCTTAGCCCCCAGCTAGGGGGCATTATTTATGGACCACTTTTATTTATTGACAGACATTTATTTATTGGGATGTATGCCCTAGGAAGGGCCTCCTCCTGGGAATAATAAACCATTTTTGCAGAATTTGGACACCTCCTCACTCGTAGTAGAGCCCATGGACCGTGGCCACTGCAAAGAGCGAGGCGTTGGTGAAGGTGGCAGAGGCCAGGCCGTCATGCGCTGAGTCCCAGAGCGCGCGGCTGACCACGTGCACACCCTGGCCAGTGTGCTGCCCCAGCACCACGCTGCACACCAGCTTGTAGCGCGGCGGGCTGAGCTCCCGCAGGCGCATGTGCACCAGTTCACACAGCTCTCGTGCCAGCGGCCCCGCCTTGGTGCCAGAGTAGTCTGTGTCCTGCAGTCGCTTGGCCAGCACTTCCTCCAGGGTACGTTGTGCTCGCGTGGCCTCCCAGCGCTCCCCAGGTGCTGGCTCAGTGCGATATGAGGGCGCCATCCGCCGGGGAGGTGCTAGGGGCAACCCGGAGAAGCTGACCCGCGAGCATAAGGGGGGCACTGGACCCAAGGATGGTCGCCGACCCCCAGGACCAATGCCTGGTCCAGCCTGTGAGTTGCAGCGGGAAAAGGAGGAAGCCAGGCCCAGCACAGAGCCACGGCGGGAGGCTGGGCCCGGACCTGCTGGCCGGGCCTCATCAACGCTGGGCAGGTGGCCTGGAGGCCGCACAGGTGATAGTTTCAACCCAGGGTCTTTGACAGTCTCCTCCTGGCGTCCGGGGGGCACAGGCCTGCCAGCCATGGACCTGCTGGCTGAGAGACCCACACTTGGATTGGGTGGCCTTCACTGGCCACCTTTGAATACCACCCAGTTTCTTACTTGGTTATAAGGGTTTTTATCCCCTAACCCTTTTCTTACCTGTGTTTTTGAGACAGGTAAATCAAATAGGGTGGGGCTGAGTGGATTCCTAGGTGCTTGGAGGGTTAAGGGCTGTTAGGGAAGTAGGCAAGGGAAGGATGCTGCTTAGACCATCATCTTGGGCTAGACCCTGTCCCCTTCACTCCGCCTTCCCTTGGGCACTGGAGGTTAGCCACGAGAAAGGGGAGAGGTATCTGCCCTTTGCCTAGACAGTGGTGCCTCCAACCCCTAACCAGAAGGAGGGACAGACAGACCCAACTCCAACCCCATAGGTCCTTCTAGCCCTGTGGGTACTGAATCCAGTCATCTTCTACCCCACCTCCTCCTAGAATGACAGGCACAACTATCTTCCCACAACTGGCTGAGTCTGGGGGCAGGTGACTCAGGAAGCTCCTTCCACCCCCTGCTTTTGGCCTCTAGTCCTACCTCCAGAATCAGTTTTGGGATGGCTGTTCTCTTCTTCCGAAACTCCCACAGGCACCCTGAGTCACCTGCAGCCTTTGGCTCCAGCTCTCACAGCCTGGCTGGCCTGACCAGCAGGTGGGAAAATAAGGGCCCCTTGCCTGTGTTGTGGAGTTGCTATGGGTTGCTGGGCAAGCACCCCTCCCTTCCTGGTTCCCTCCCTCCATCCAGGCTCTGACTTAACCTGGGAGTGTTACTACTCTGAGCACGTGCTGAGCGCAGGGCTCCTGAGTCATCAGTGGAGAGGGGACTACGGGCTTAGAGCCCAGGAACATTCTACCCTGACAAGGACAACTGAGGGAACAGATGTAGAGAGGGGCTCTGGTTAGAAAGGTATCCCTACCTCAGGGCTCTTAAGCCACTGTCCATTTCTCCCCTTGCGAAGAATGGCTCTTCACTTATAAGTCTCAGAGGCCTGGATATGGGGAGACCTTGAGGCTGCTATAGGGGTGGGTGGTCAGGAATCAGGATCTGGGCCCACAGGAAGGAACACATCATGACTATCCTCTCTCCTTCAGTCTAAACAAGGACAAATATTTCCGCTCCCTGAGCAGAGCTAGGGTGGGGCTTGGCTGACTTCCTCTACTCAGGGCTGCCTTAGCACATGGGGAGGGGGGAAGGCTCGCTCAACAAGGCATCCAGCCTCCCGACCTCTGCTGACCCAAGTACTCTGGGGCTTGTCCCCAGCTTGCCACACCCTTTGTGTGGCATTTCAGGGATGCCAGAGGCCATGACTCCTTTGTCAGAGCTGACACCTCCTCACCTGACTCCCTCTGGGAGAGACAGGACTGCCCTCTCCCAAATAAGCCCTGTGTGGGCCCTGAAAACTGTTCAGGGCTTTCCCTGGATAAAAATCCCTTGCCTGTGTTAGGAAGTTGCCATGGGTTGCTGGATAAGCACTCCCTTCCTGGTTCCCTCCCTTGTTGGGGGTTCCCCAGACCTGGCTAACCTGATTCTAATACTGTGGGCATGTGGGTGGAAGGGTAAGAGGGGCAGGGAGTTAGAACTCTGAACCCAGGACAGGCAGGGCCAGGGTGCTAAGACCCTCTGACTCTGCTGAGGGCCCCTCTGAGGTTTAAAGTTTTCCCTAGGCCTGTGGAAGAGGGGCGGGGCCTCCTCAGGCCCGGCTCCAGTTTCCTTGGAAACCCACAGGCTTCCCACCCTAGCCGCGTCTGGGCAGGCTCCCAGCTGGGGCCTCATTTGCAGCTAGCTTCTCCTCCCCCATCTGGTCTGCTCCAATTTGGCCTCTTTTGGTCCCCTCCCTGAGTCCTGATCCCCAAACCGAGCCTCTGGCGGACTCCACCAGCCTCTGATGCCTTCTTCACAAACCTGGGCCTCTCCTGCCCCATCCCTAAACAGCTTCTCAGCAACACAGGCCTCCCAAACTCTTGCCCCTCCCCCTCAGGCCTTTCTAGTCTCCTTACCAGCTGTAAGGCCTGGCCAGGCATCTTACTCCTCACCTCCCGCCTCCCACATACCAACCGACAACAGACCTACTAGGCTATTTCACTCACTTATTCTCCTGCCCCACCCCATCCATGGAGACCCCTGGACTGGTGCATGGGGAGGCTGAGCCCTTTTCCAAAGCACTCCGAAGCCTCGTCAACAACCGCCTATACAGGTGAGAGGTTTGACCCGGTCTGTGGGTTTTTGATAGCTGGCTCTGCTGGGCCCCATGACTGTGAGGAAGCCCTGGGTATAGAAGAGGCGGGGAATTAGGACTTGACCCTCTTGCTTAACTCAGGGGCCATGATATCCTGAGAGCCAGAGGTGGAGGGCAGTGGGTGACTGTGACCTCAGGCAAAGGCCTTTCTTTTTTGAATCTTGGGCTCCTGGAAGAAAAGAACCCTCTGCTCCCTGGATCCCCATAGATGGGATATAACTTGAGTCCCTCCCTGGGGAGGCAGAGGAGCAGATGATCCTGTTCTGGGAACTGGGGAATCACTAGAGGAACAAAGTTCAAGGGATTGAGCCAAATTCTCAGACAGGAAGTGGTTCAAGGGTACTGCCTGGGGCTCAGTGGTGTCTGAAACCAGGGATAGAGTATGGGGGAAGGACTGGTGGAGAGAACTAGAATGTAGCTTTCTGTCCTTACTGGCCCAGAGCTGGGCTCCTCCGCAAAGGTTGGTGAATCCCATAACCCTGCTGTTTTGGGGATCACAGGCTGATCTGCGTAGTGTGAACTCCAGGTCTTAGACCTGGAACTAGGAGGCTCCAGGAACTCAAGTTTCATCTCCTGCCTCCTACCCACTGTATTGTCAAGAGGCCCAGAGGCTGGGCCGGAAGTGATCATGAAGATGGAAAATGTGGTCTGGCCTCTTGATGGTGCGTTACTGCTGTGTCTGCAGCCAGTGCACTCTGTACACCCCCATCCTTCCACCCCCTCCTACCTGGAGGAGGCTGAAAAAAGCTAGTTTGCAGTCTGTGGAGGAGGAGCCAGGAAGAGCTTTCCTTCCCCCAAGACTCAGACTGGAGAGGAGAGGGGTATGTGCGATCAGTCTTGCCTCAGCCCTGGAGCTCCCTCAGTGATCAAGCACAGCCACTTCTCTGAGACCTGAGAGTTTGGGATTACCATCCCATTTCATGGGGGAGAAACCTGAGATTCAAAGGTAGAAAGTACTGAGGTACTTATAGGGTAGAGCTGGGACTAGAACCCATGCCTGTGTGTCCCAGACCTTCAGTTGGAAGGTCTAAGCCCTGTCTCTTATATGACAGATAAAGAAACAGACGCCCAGAATGGGCAAAGGCAAAGCCTAGAGTTGCACCCTAGACTCTAGCCTCTTCTCCCCTGCTCTCTGACCCTCTCTCCCACAGTGATGTTTGCTTTGTGGTCGGTCAAGAACGGCAGGAGGTGTTTGCCCACCGGTGCTTGTTGGCCTGTAGATGCAACTTTTTCCAGCGACTTCTGGGCCCAGAGCCAGGCCCTGGGGTGCCTAGCCCGGTGGTGCTAAGTACTGTACCAGCCGAGGCTTTCCTGGCAGTGCTGGAGTTCTTGTATACCAACAGTGTCAAGCTGCACCGCCATTCTGTGAGCCCAGTGGGCAGAGGTCTGGGTGGGAGAAGGAGGGGGTGGGCT